CATTTTTTAAAAAAATTTTTTTTTTTTTTTTTTTTTTTGGGGGGGGGGGGGGGGGCGAGTGAAAGAAAATAGCATACACCTCGCAACCAGTGTTGCCCGTCATTTCTGGTCAGCCGGGCTTTACCCCCCCCCACACACACCCACACACTGACACCCACAACCACACACATACCCACACACACACACCCACACAACCACACCCACACAACCACACAACCACACCCACAACCACACACACACCCACACAACCACACACTCACACCCACACACTCACAACCACACACACACACACTCACACACACCCACACACTCATACCCACACACTCACAAACCACACACACTCACACCCACACAAACACACACACCCACACACACACCCATACACACTCACACCCACACACTCACTCACACCCACACACCCACAACCACACACACACACACTTTTCCCACAAAACACACACGTTGGTTCTTTTAAGGAAATGTCAATGTTTGAGGTTTGTTTGATATCGATTATGTGTGCTTATCTCTAGGGGGGGGGGGTGGAAGGGGGAGGGAGAGAGGAGGGTGGGCCATCCGTTGTAGCACAAACTCCAGCTTCGACTACACATAACACATCCGTCCAAACACGTCTCACCTTATCTCTCCCTATTTCAGAAGTGCTTTGTTTGGCTTGCCTACAGGGTCAAAGACTCTGGGTTAAGCTTCAACATTAATCTTCACTTTCCCTCTTTACTCTTAGCTGATTGTATTGTTTCATCTTACTAAAGCTTATCACTTTCCCTCTTTACTCTTAGCTGATTGTATTGTTTCATCTTACTAAAGCTTATCACTTTCCCTCTTTACTCTTAGCTGATTGTATTGTTTCATCTTACTAAAGCTTATCACTTTCCCTCTTTACTCTTAGCTGATTGTATTGTTTCATCTTACTAAAGCTTATCACTTTCCCTCGACGACGTAAGTTTAATATAGGCATGATGGTGTGTTGTAAGCGTGTGCGTTATTTGTGGCCTACTCAAGTGGGCGGTAACTCCCCCACACACGGCCCTTGCTTTTTTTTTAAAAGCAAAACAAATCTGAAATGACACGCCCCTTCTAATGACACACCCCTTCTAAACTATTTTCTAAGCAGTTTACAAAAAAAATGGGATGATTTATAAGAATGGCTGCTCACTGAGCAAAGGTACCAAACTCTTGCCTAATGTTAAGTTATAAGTTGAATGAATTTACCAATGAATCACCTCTAATTATTTAATGACTTAACCCTTGTCTTTTTGATAATGGCAAAATCTTTGTCTGATAGTGAATAATACTTCTGATGAATAGATAAAATTGTACTCATAATTTATAATTATGTGTAGATTGAACTGTACTCATGACAAATATATGATAGTGTACATATAGTAAATAGATGATAGTGTCCTTACAATTATAATAAATAGATCATAGTGTACTAATAGTGAGCAGATGAATCAGACCACATATTTCTATTCTGTGGAGATAATTTATCGGACTATTTTTCTTTAATATTGATTCTGTCTCATACAGATACTTACAGATACATACAGATACATACAGATATATACAACTAGGACAGAATTCAGTTCTATAAAAAGCACTTAAATGTGTTTTTTATTTCGGAAAACACAACGTAAAACAAGTCAACAAAACAGGTGAATGCAAACAGGTGAATACAAACAAGTCAAAAAAACAGGTGAATACAAACAAGTCAACAAAACAGGTGAATACAATTAAGTCAACAAAACAGGTGAATGCAAACAAGCCAACAAAACAGGTGAATACAAACAAGTCAACAAAACAGGTGACTACAAACAAGTCAACAAAACAGGTGAATGCAAACAAGTCAACAAAACAGGTGAATACAAACAAGTCAACAAAACAGATGATAATAAACAAGTCAACAAAACAGGTGAAAACAAACAAGTCAACAAAACAGGTGAATGCAAACAAGTCAACAAAACAGGTGAAAGCAAACAAGTCAACAAAACAGGTGAATGCAAACAAGTCAACAAAACAGGTGAATGCAAACAAGTCAACAAAACAGGTGAATGCAAACAAGTCAACAAAACAGGTGAATGCAAACTTGCATAAAATAAGCAGAAAACGAAATAAAATCTTGTATTTTTATTACAATATTCACAAGTTTTTCTCTCCATCTTTCTGTCTCTCTCCCCCCCCCCCACCATTTTCCCCATCCCATATCATCCACAATGAACCAACAGTTATTGATCAAATGCTAATTAATTGAAGTTTATGAAGTGACTCACACCAACAAACTTGCATAAAATAAGCAGAAAACGAAATAAAATCTTGTATTTTTATTACAATATTCACAAGTTTTTCTCTCCATCTTTCTGTCTCTCTCCCCCCCCCCCCACCATTTTCCCCATCCCATATCATCCACAATGAACCAACAGTTATTGATCAAATGCTAATTAATTGAAGTTTATGAAGTGACTCACACCAGGTCATTGAGCATTAAGCTAAGCTACTGACCTCTAAAAGAAAACTTGCATTTTGGCTCAATTAAAAAAAAAAAAGTTCTAAAAAATTTGAAATTCTATCCCTCTTGTTTTACAAAAATATTAAAATTTGCATTCTTTTTATATCACCTGGAGAAATAAAAGGTCCAAGTTACAAATATGAATCACAATAATTAAATGAACTACAATTTTTAAATTTAAATTTCAGAAGATCAGCTGTTAAGCTTAGAGCATTTACGCGATGTCCAGTGCCAGCACAGCTAATTAACATTTAATATTCGTAGTCCTGTTAATAAATATGTGACAACTTTTTTAAAAAAAAACAAAAAAACATTAAAATTTATGTTTTCCTTTTTCCCTATACACATTTTATCCAAAAAATATATGACACTGAAAAAAAATGTTCAAAAAATAAATATTAATTTGTCAACATTGTTCATGAACAATTGGGTGTTTGTTATCACAAACCTTCATCTGGAATGAAAAATAACTTTATTTGATCAACCAATTAACAAACATAGAGGCAGATGGCCAGAGACAGTCCAAGTAAAAAAAATATTACAGTCGTGGGTCAGCCATGAACAATGGTGGGTCAGCCGTGAACAGTGGTGGGTCAGCCATGAACAGTGGCGAGTCAGCCATGAACAGTGGGTCAACCATGAACATTGGTGGGTCAGCCATGAATAGTGGGTTATTCATGAACAGTGGTGGGTCAGCCATGAACAGTGGGTTAGCCATGAACAGTGGGTCAGCCATGAACCGTGGTGGGTCAGCCATGATCAAAATCACAGTACATCATGATAAACTTTGAGTACATCTTGGTCTACTGTTTTCTTATGTTGTTGTTTTATACAAGGGCACCCAAAATGTCAGTACAATTAAACCTCACATATGATGTAAAGTATCATACAGTTATACTAGTAAAGTGATGCCACATATACTAGATGGGCACACACAGGAAAGACTGTACAATTAAACCACACATATGATGTACAATATCATAAAAGTATACCAGTACAGCTATGTCACATATACTCGACAGTCCAGTGTCATTATAAATGTCCTAGTAAAATGACATTATGCATGGCACATGGTGCAATGGCATCATGTAGTACAATGGCACCACATGGTATAGTCACATCACATGGTACCATGACATCACCTAGTATAAGGGCACCACATGGTACAGTGACATCACATGGTACATGACATCACCTAGTATAAGGCACCACATGGTATAGTGACATCACATGGTATAAGGGCACCACATGGTATAGTGACATCACATGGTATAAGGGCACCACATGGTATAGTGACATCACATGGTACCATGACATCACATGGTATAAGGGCACCACATGGTTCAGTGACAATGTCACCTCACAGTAAAATGACATCCCATTGTACAGGGAATTACATGGTACAAGGTAACCCAACCCCCCCCCCCAGTTTAAATGTAACATTGACATCTCAAAGTAGCATAAAAGCATGTCATACATAACAACGACTGGAGCTGTGATAAAATATCTGAATAAATAAATAATTCTGCTGGTATGTTTATACACATTGTCTTATATTAGCAAACACAACACACAATGAACAGAGCTCTGTCCCTAGTTCAACCTAAGTCTGCACCTAATCACCTGAAACATCAAACAGAATTGATATATAACCAAACATCAATTGCATTCAAACACATCTTCAATAATGGCACAAATTATCAAGCCATGGTTTAGACCTATTCACACACAACTGGTTTCCTGAAGGAAGAGTAACATAATTTTGAATGCATCAAAGTTCAGGAGGTCGTTGGGTAATGTTTGAACTAGCCAAACATAAATAATCACATCAATTTATATAAATATACAATAATCATGACATCAATTATTTTATTGTTAAACTATTTTCTTAAATTTATATTAAAATTATTTTGATATATCTGCAACTTGAGTTCACAGTACATCAACTTGTGTAACTTATATTTAACCTTTGAACAAATTTTACAGTTATGCCTTATCATAGCAGAAGATGCTATTTCAAATTTTTGTTTCATATAAATGGGTTTAAAAAAAAAATAATTAAGTACATCATTTTAAAGAGAAAAAAAAATGAACAACATGGTAGAGACAGTAAGTATGTTCATGTTTCTGTAACTGATATCACAGATGTACAAATCACTTAGTGTTATATGGCGGAAAATATAATCAAACTGAACTAAGATTACAGCATGACTGACTTCCTTGTTTGTTCTCACTGAATTTCCTGTTTTGTGTTCACTGAATTCCTTGTTTGTTGTACTCAAATTTCATGTTTTGTCTTTACTGAATCCATTGTTGATGTTTATTGAAGTTGTGTTGCAACATTACGTCTCTATAAGTTAATTAATACCTTAATAATGAGAACAGCTGAATATGGGTTCAAATTTCATAAAAATACTTTGATGAAACGTTTATTTTAAAAATAGGATTCTAAACAAATTGCCTGATAAAATTTTTTCACTGTACTAAGGGAAATAAACTCTTCATATCTTTTATGCTTATTTATTTTTATTTGGTTGCAGGGTTACATCCCCTACCCCAAGCCAGCTAGAGCACCCCAGGGTTTGTGTGCTCGATGATGGCTCTCTTACAATATCTCCTGACCATGGCATAGGCATCGGGCGACAGGCAGCAGTCCTGTACGTGAAGCTGTTGCAAGGTCGGACAGCTGTAGGCCACCAGCACGATCCCTTTGTCTGTGATGCCATCACATGACTTGACCCCCAGTTTCTTCAAGTTGGGGCAGTACCTGGACAGGGCAAACATGCCTTCGTCGGTGATGTCACATTTGCCAATGTCCAGCGAACGTAGGCGGGGGCAGTTCCTGACCAGGAACTCCAGGCCCAGGTCTGACACCGTCTCACAGCCGCGGACGTTTAGGTACCTCAGCTTGCTGCAGTTTCTTGCAATGTTAATGACACCATCGTCCGACACCTGGATGGAGAGAAATAGTTCATTACATTGATGCAGGAGAAAGGATGAAGAGAAATAGTTCATTATATTGATGCAAGAGAAAGGATGGAGAAAACAGTTCATTACATTGATGCAGGAGAAAGGATGGAGAGAAATAGTTCATTACATTGATGCAGGAGAAAGGATGGAGAGAAATAGTTCATTACATTGGTGCAAGAGAAAGGATGGAGAGAAATAGTTCATTACATTGATGCAGGAGAAAGGATGGAGAGAAATAGTTCATTACATTGATGCAAGATAAAGTATGGAGATAAATAGTTCATTACATTGATGGAAGAGAAAGGATGGAGAGAAACAGTTCATTACAGTGATGGAAGAGAAAGGATGGAGAGAAACAGTTCATTACATTGATGCAAGATAAAGGATGGAGAGAAATAGTTCATTACATTGATGCAGGAGAAAGTATGGAGATAAATAGTTCATTACATTGATGCAGGAGAAAGTATGGAGAGAAATAGTTCATTAGTCAACAGTCAGTAGGTGGTGATACTCTCAATGGTCAATAGCGCTGATACTTTCAACAGTCATTATTGTTGATACTTTCAAATGTCAGTAGTGTTGATATTTTCAACAAGTCAGTTTTAAGAGTGGACCAGGAGCTTATATCTCTGTCACAACACATGTTTCAAACGACATTGACACAAACATAAAATTCTTTTCTCACCTTTTCACATTTGGCCACACTGAGGTATCTGAGGTTGTCTCGTAGCTTGGCCAATTCCCTCATGCCAATGTCTGTGATGCTGGTGCAGTCGCTCATGCTCAGCTCTCGTAAACTGTCAAGTAAAGTAGTACATCATTTTATTCAATAGGGACCAAAGTAAAGTAGTACATCATTTTATTCAACAGGGACCAAAGTAAAGTAGTAAATAATTTTATTCAATAGGGCCCAAAGTAAAGTAGTAAATAATTTTATTCAATAGGGCCCAAAGTAAAGTAGTAAATCATTTTATTCAATAGGGAACAAAGTAAAGTAATAAATCAGTTTATTTGATGGCGATTAAATGCTATTAACATACCTTCTACAGTTGTTTGCTATATAACTGACCCACACATACCTTCTACAGTTGTTTGCCATATAACTGACCCACACATATCCATAATAGTTGTTTGTCATATAACTGACCCACACATACCCGCTACAGCTGTTTGCCATATAAAAGACCAGCACATACCTGCTACAGTTGTTTGCTATGTAACTGACTCCCAGATCTGTGATCAGTGGGCAGCGTCTTAGGTAGAAAAACAAGAGTTGTGGGCACTGTGAGGTGATGATGAACAAATCCTCGTCCGTCACGTGAGGACAGTCCGTCATGTCAAGGTACCTCAGGTAAATCCGCTCCAGGTGAGAAGGACTCTGTGCAATGACAGAGTCCATCAGTGTGATACAGGTGACTTGAGGACAACCTGGAGACAAAGTCAGACACAAGGTCAAGGTGAGCATGAATTAGTCTCTACACGTTTTTTTTTAGATTTGGAAAAACTTAGATTTTACTGATATAAATGTAATGTGCCTAAATTATTTGTGAAAATCCTCCAAACTTGTCAACTGAATGCACCAAGGAAGAGAAATGTTGATGTGAGTCAAGTTAATGAAATCGAATAAATCACCACTCACAGATTACCAAACAAGTCAAAATATGACTTTAATTTATTGAATAGTCAGTGTATCCTCATGACTTGTATAAACATGTTACTGACTAAAGCTTAAGTCCTTGCTGATTTGGCCTTTGTGTCCACACAGAGACTGAGACAGCTACACTGTCAGATGGGAGTTTTTAATACTTCAAATAATTTGCTTTTCTCATTTTGTATTTTATTGCAGAAGAAGGTATGTAGCTGAAATGTTCTTTTAATTGTTGTAGGTGGTGTTTTTCAATCCTAAACAATGTCTTGTTACACTTATTTAACTAAATTGGTTGTGTATGTTGTTCAATGGAAGATAAAATGTGTGTTTGGTTGGTCTTTTAGTTTGGCCTTTTAGTTCAGTTGGATCTTTTTAGTTTATTTGGTCATTTAGTTTGGCTGGATCTATTTAGTTTTTTGGTCTTTAGTTTGACTGGTCTTTTAGCTTGGTTTTGAGTCCAGTTGCATCTTTTAGTTTGGCTGGTCTTTTAGTTTGGCTGGTCTTTTAGTTTGGTCTTTTAGTTTAGTTTGTCTTTCAGTTTGGTTGGTCTTTCAGTCTGGTTGGTCTTTTAGTTTGGTTGGTCTTTTAATTTGGTTGGTCTTTTAATTTGGCTGGACTTTCAGTTCGGTTGGTCTTTTAGTCTGGTTGATCTTTTATTTTAGTTGGTATTTTAGTTTGACTGGTCTTTTAGTTTGGCTGATCTTTTAGTTCAGTTGGATCTTATAGTTTGATTGGTCTTTTAGTTTGGCTGGTCTTTTAGTTTGGTTGGTCTTTTAATTTGGCTGGTTTTTCAGTTTGGTTCGTCTTTAAGTCTGGTTGGTCTTTTAGTTTAGTTGGTCTTTAAGTTTGGTCTGTTAGTTCAGTTTGATCTTTTAGTTTAGTTGGTCTTTTAGTTTGATTGGTATTTTTGTTTGGCTGGTATTTAAGTAGGCATTTTTTTTTAGTTTGGTTGCTCTTTTATTTGGCTGGCCTTTTAGTTTGTCTGGTCTTTTAGTTTGTTCTGTTAGTTCAGTTGGATATTTTAGTTTAATTGGTCTTTTACTTTGGTTGGTCTTTTAGTTTGGTTGGTCTTTTAGTTTGGTTGGTCTTTTAGTTTGGTTGGTCTTTTAGTTTGGTTGGTCTTTTAGTTTAATTGGTCTTTTACTTTGGTTGGTCTTTTAGTTTGGTTGGTCTTTTAGTTTGGTTGGTCTTTTAGTTTGGTTGGTCTTTTAGTTTGGTTGGATATTTTAGTTTAATTGGTCTTTTACTTTGGTTGGTCTTTTAGTTTGGTTGGTCTTTTAGTTTGGTTGGTCTTTTAGTTTGGTTGGTCTTTTAGTTTGGTTGGTCTTTTAGTTTGGTTGGTCTTTTAGTTTGGTTGGTCTTTTAGTTTGGTTGGTCTTTTAGTTTGGTTGGATATTTTAGTTTAATTGGTCTTTTAGTTTGGTTGGTCTTTTAGTTTGGTTGGTCTTTTAGTTTGGTTGGTCTTTTAGTTTGGTTGGTCTTTTAGTTTGGTTGGTCTTTTAGTTTGGCTGGTGTTTTGTTTGGCTGGTATTTAAGTTTGGCAGTTTTTTTTAGCTTGGTTGGTCTTTTAGTTTGGCTGGCTTTTTAGTTTGGTCTGTTAGTTCAGTTGGATATTTTAGTTTAGTTGGTCTTTTAGTTTGGTTGGTCTTTTAGTTTGGTTGGTCTTTTAGTTTGGTCTGTTAGTTCAGTTGGATATTTTAGTTTAGTTGGTCTTTTAGTTTGGTTGGTCTTTCAGTTTGGTTGGTCTCTTAGTTGGCTGGTCTTTTTTAGTTTGTTTGGTCTTTTAGTCTGGTTGGTGTTTTAGTTTAGTTGGTCTTTTAGTTTGGCTGGTCTTTTAGTTTGGTTGGTCTTTTAATTTGGCTCGTCTTTCATTTTGGTTGTTCTCTTAGTTGACTGGTCTTTTTTAGTTTGTTTGGTCTTTTAGTCTGCTAGGTCTTTTAGTCTGCTTGGTCTTTTAGTCTGCTTGGTCTTTTAGTTTAGTTGGTCTTTCAGTTTGGTTGGTCTTTCAGTCTGGATGGTCTTTCAGTCTGGTTGGTCTTTTAGTTTGGTTGGTTTTTTAGTTTGGTTGGTCATTCATATTCTTTTTCAAATAATAATCTTAGACTTATTGTGTTGATATTTTCAATACAAAAATATCACTAACTGCCTTTAAATATGAATATAAAACTGTTACAGTGGATCAAATGATCTAAATGTTTTTATTTTTAAGATTTAAAAGTGTGAAAGAAAAGTTTATAAAAATAAATTTAAAATAAATTCCTTTAATGAAAGAATGTATGAAGAGGTTGAGGACCGCTGACAACAAGCAATTTTTCCTCGACTGTTTCACAGGCACCAGACAATGCAAGCAGTCTGAATGAATGACTGAATGAATGAATGATTGAATGTATGAATGTTTAAATACACCTTTCAAGATGGACATGATTTAACACAACCTACCTGTGACATCCAGCCTCTCCAGGTTGACACATCTTGACACCGCCTCTGTAACCCCCAGGTTGGTAATGAGGTGACAGCTCTGCATGTCCAGGTACCTCAGTTCTGGGCATCTCTTGACCGCTGTCTGCAGACCCCGGTCAGTAAGACGACAGCAGGCGTTGATGTTAATCTTCTCCAGGATCATACAGATCTGAATGTACGCATACATAAAGTCATATAATGTGTGTGTGCAGTGAATGATGCATACATGGTACATAAAGCTATATATATGTGTGCAGTTATTGGCATCGTATATTTAAATTCTGTGTGTATACATTGTTTGATACATTTAAGTAAGGTTAACGATATTGTCAGTGCAGACGTTAGACACAGCGGCTGCCTGGAGCGGCAGCAAATTCTAGAGAATTTTAATTTTTTTAATTAACAAAAAACACCATTAAATGAAAAAAACAACTATGCAGTTGATCAAGAATGCCACCCTCCAATATAAAAAAAGTGCAGACTGAGGTGAACCCACATCTTCCCCACCCCTGTTCCTACGCCACTGAGCACTTATATTATGCTCTTGTGTAGGAAGGGAAGGGCGGAGGGGGCATTTTTCTATATATGAATGGGCTGCATTTTCTGCAGACTACAGAGTATTTTATAGAACTGGTGGCAATAATCTTGGTCCAACCCGGGTGGCCTCTACCTTTGCTATGACATTGAATTTATGAACACATGCTCCATTTATTATCCTTAAATTCTGGATGTCCAAAAAAAAAAAAAAAAGCCTATTTAAATCTTTAATAAATCCAACTGTCATCTTAAAAACCTGCCAAATCAATAATTTCTACTTATTTTCGCAACAGTACTATTTAGCCCAGTGCATGGGCCGGCAAAATTTTTCAACCATTACCCCAAAAATATATTTATTTTGTACACTGATGACGTTAGCCCTGAATTGAAAGGAAGAAAATCATGGACTATGTAAATTCAAAATGGTTTACTGAATCTATTCATAGGGAGAATACAATTAGAATTAATAAATTTTAAAAAATATATAAAAATTTCTTACAACTTTATAAAATCCTTAATAATTTCTTTGAAAAAATGTTTCATTCGAATTGTAAAGAAATTGATGTTTTCTTTTAGATGAACTGACATTAAAATTTGGGCATTTTTAAATCAACGAAAACTTTTCTGTTGCTAACACTAAAATCATTGCTGCGAGTGCTGACAGAAACTTTTCGAAGCTCAAACTCATAAAAACCATTATCGTAGTTCTAACACGTCTCAAGATTGTGCCATTTGTTTAGCTACAACATTCATCGGAAGAACGATTGCAGAAGAGTTGGATGCGTCTGAAATAATTCAGTGTTTTGCTTCTGCCAAAGCAACAAAGAAAAAAAAAATTTTAAATTAAAATAATATTTTTCTTAAAATAAACTACGAATGATAAGATATTCTTTAAATAAACTAAGAATGATAAGATATTCTTTAAATAAACTACGAATGATAAGATATTCTTTAAATAAACTACGAATGATAAGATATTCTTTAAATAAACTACGAATGATAAGATATTCTTTAAATAAACTACGAATGATAAGATATTCTTTAAATAAACTACGAATGATAAGATATTCTTTAAATAAACTAAGAATGATAAGATATTCTTTAAATAAACTACGAATGATAAGATATTCTTTAAATAAACTAAGAATGATAAGATATTCTTTAAATAAACTAAGAATGATAAGATAATCTTTAAATAAACTAAGAATGATAAGATATTCTTTAAATAAACTAAGAATGATAAGATATTCTAAAAACTTTCGTAACATTTGCTGTCAGAGGATGTTTTAATTTTTGTGAGCATTCTTTCTTATTAAATACTCAGAGAAAATGGAAAACCAAACCTGTCTCGAAATAACTAAAATTTAAATATATATATCTCTCTCTCTATATATATATATATGTAAAGGTCTTATACACTTACAACTCTATTACAGACTTGCTAATTTAACAATTGAGTTAAAGTAGTTTGTTTTAGTACATTAAATACATATATATATATATATATATTAATCAACATTTTCATCATTTTGATGTATATTTTAAAATTGATAGAAAGTGTATTTTCTTTGAAAACTAGTAAAAATAGATTACGTATAGATATTTATGATTAAGTGAGCTGCACTTCTGGTTCGTACCTATAGCAGAAAACTTGCTAGGACCGCCACTGGATATTGGCATGATATCTATATGGATAGAATACACTACTGTACTTGTACACATGTATAGACATTCCATTTTTTTTTTTTTTTACAGATGCACACATACATTCCTAGAAACCTATGATCACCAGCTGTAGCTGTATTAGCCCTTGTGGACTTACCTTAGGAGTGTTGTAGCTTAGCCTTCTGGTCAAGTACTTCAAGGCCCTGTCTATGTCGATGTTGGGATTATTGATGACAATGGAGGTCCATAAGATGGGATTATCCCAGACCACGTTGTACCAGTGGCGACACACCTGGATAAATGGTTAGGGTTGGACAAGAGACTAAGATTACATGGAAAAATACATTGGTTACTGAAAATGTAACTAAAAAGACTTCCATTTTTTTACTAATAACGTCACGTGGGAAATGGCGTCGGTGGGTCGTCGAGCGTGACCTCTTAATGCCCCCCCCCCCGGGGCACACCCACACACGGGCCAAACGCCGGGTGCCCCCCCCCCGCGGGGCACGCAGGGTTTAAAGCGTTCGCGGTCCACTCTCCCATTTGTTACATGCGAGCCAAACCTCACACGAATTATTACCCCGTATTTTGTAAATTTTTAAACACTTTTGTCAACGTGTACCGCCGCAAAGGCTTTGGTACAAATTCCAATGGGTTTAGAAAAGACATATGTGTTCACAAGACACACGTTCAAATCTGGAGGAGCAGAACATTCAGCGTTGGGAAACAAGAACATTAAATCCTATTGGTCCGTTCAAAATGATTAACTTGAGGATCGGTACTAACTAGTAGTCAGTAAGCCATGTTTAGAAATCCTCTTGTGTACATCTTAACACGAACTCTAGTGTTAGTAAGGCGATCTCTTAATTTAAAAGGTCCGTCCATAAAGTACGTCACGCTCCGGAAATGGAGGGGGTCTAAACAAAAACAAAAAAGTGTGACGGTTTGCGACAGGGTTTGGGGGGGGGGG